CAACACAGTGCTAGGCTGCATTAACAGAGGGATAGAATCAAGATCACGTGAAGTATTAATACCACTTTACAATGCCTTGGTAAGGCCACACTTGGAATACTGCATCCAGTTTTGGTCACCACGATGTAAAAAAGATGTTGAGACTCTAGAAAGAGTACAGAGAAGAGCAACAAAGATGATTAGGGGACTGGAGGCCAAAACATATAAGGAACGGCTGCTGGAATTGGGTATGTCTAGTTTAACGAAGAGAAGGATGAGGGGGGACATGACAGCAAGTCTTCCAATATCTCAGGGGCTGCCACAAAGAAGAGGGAGTTAAGCTATTCTCCAAAGCGCCTGAAGGCAGGACAAGAAGCAACGGATGGAAACCAATCAAGGAGAGAAGCAATCTAGAACTAAGGAGAAACTTCCTGACAGTGAGAACAATTAACCAGTGGAACAACCTGCCTCCAGAAGCGGTGAATGCTCCAACACTGGAAGTTTTTAAGAAGAAACTGGACAGCCATTTGTCCGAAATGGTATAGGGTTTCCTGCCTGAGCAGGAGGTTGGACTAGATGACCTCCGAGGTCCCTTCCAACTTTTTTATTATTATTATTATTATTATTATCATTATTATTATTATTATTATTATTACTACTACTACTACTACTACTACTACTACTACTACTACTACTACTACTACTACCACTGGATGACATCGCCAGGGCCCGTTGCCTTGGAAGAGTGAGGAAAATTCTCAGGGATGACTCACACCCTGATTGTTATCTCTTTACTCTCCTACCATTGGGTAGGTAGGAGATATAGAAATATAGCCAGCCGTACCAACAGGCTGAAGAACAGCTTCTATCCATGGGCTGCCAGGCTCCTGAACGGGACATAACTTTACGCATGATAGACTCGTGAGGCCGGCGTGCTGTGCAATTAGCTCACAGGGTGTAATAAGTTGGTGGGTTTGTAGTCACTGTGAGTTGTGGTGGGGGGGGGGCACGGAGGGAGGCTCAGCCAATCTCATTGTATACATGTTATACTTTGATCATAAAGGTTCATTCATTCCCATCGCACAGCCTTGAAGTGCCAGGTTTTTCTCAGGCCGAAAATGGCTCACATACATTCCTCACCTCCCTCCTATCTCCCAACACATTCCAAAAGCATTCCCCTCCCTTCCTCCCTTATTTACTGTTGTCCAGCTGCCAGTAGAGGTGCGTTATGAGTCAGCCTTTCCAGTTGCCAAGTATGGAGATCCCTGCATTCAAGCCAATTTCTTACTTAAAATATGGTCACCCTAAAATTGATGTTCCTGAAGACAGTACTATCTGCCTTTGACTCCCCCCCCCCTTTTTTTTTTTCTTTTTCTTTTTTTTTTTTTTGCAGGGAGAAGCTGGTCTACAAGGACCCATCGGAGCAGCAGGTGTAAGAGGTTTCCAGGTCAGTCAAATTCAGAAGATAGTTTTGGGATGGAAAGAGTAACTGTTCCCACACAGGATGGGCAGCTGCAATTTGTACCCGTATCCAGCTTGTAGCAGCACTACCAAGGATTTTATGCTGTTAGCCGATCAAGTAGGTGTGCCAGTGTTTCTCACCCTCGGCAACTTTAAGACGTGTGGACTTCAATTCCCAGAATTCTGGGAGTTGAACTCCACACGTCTTAAAGTTGCCGAGGTTGAGGAACACTGAGGTAGAATATATATCCAATTGTCCAGTCTGCTCTTCAATCCTCCCAACACTCTTCTTCCCATTGTGGCTGGGGAATTCTGGGAGTTGAACTCCACACGTCTTAAAGTTGCCGAGGTTGAGGAACACTGAGGTAGAATATATCCAATTGTCCAGTCTGCTCTTCAGTCCTCCCAACACTCTTCTTTCCATTGTGGCTGGGGAATTCTGGGAGTTGAACTCCACATGTCTTAAAGTTGCCGAGATTGAGGAACACTGAGGTAGAATATATCCAATTGTCCAGTCTGCTCTTCAGTCCTCCCAACACTCTTCTTCCCATTGTGGCTGGGGAATTCTGGGAGTTGAACTCCACACGTCTTAAAGTTGCCGAGGTTGAGGAACAATGAGGTAGAATATATATCCAATTGTCCAGTCTGCTCTTCAATCCTCCCAACACTCTTCTTTCCATTGTGGCTGGGGAATTCTGGGAGTTGAAGTCCATACCTTCTTCAAATTGCTAAATTCTAAAAACTGGTATAAGTGAAAGTAGCAAAATAAGGCAAGGTTCTGCGAAACTAAAAGGGGCTGGAGAGATGGAAAACTAAAGTGACTTATAGGGATCTACGACATGGAGATTTACAAGCAATTTTTTAGTTAAAAGCTGGCTAAGATGTTGTTTGTCTCTTTTCAGGCTGTTTTAAGCCATCGTCTGAAATGTTTGCTGATTTTGAGTAACTGAGCAGTTTGATTCAAACGTGAGAGCTAATCCCTTCTCCCTTTTTTCAGCTTTTTCTCTTATTTCTGTCTTTTTGTTTAACTTTCCAGGGTCGTAGAGGATCAAGTGGGGAGCTGGGCCGACCTGGTGCCACGGGGCTACGGGGTGAATCCGGCGAGCAGGTAAATCCTCTGCAAAAGTGAACAATTGATCTGATGAGGCTTTGATGAATATCACTTTGATGAGTGCAGAATTCTTTTGGATAGGGCTGTAATATTTAATGTGTTCGTTAATCAGTTCTGTAATCTAAGTTACAGAATCAATTTAAAATATTTCCACTGAGGGAAGAGGGCTGCAAAGGAAGATTTTTTTTTTACTGCATAAATGTTAGATGTTACTATTAAATTACTTTTAGTTAGTTAAAGACCAGCTGTCGGCCGTGACCAGGGGGGCGTTTTATCAGGTACGCCTGATCCACCAGTTGCGACCTTTCCTGGACCGGGACGCCTTGCGCACAGTCACCCATGCTCTCGTCACCTCCCGCCTGGACTACTGTAACGCTCTCTACATGGGGCTCCCCTTGAGGAGCACTCGGAGGCTTCAACTGGTCCAGAATGCGGCCGCGCGGGCGGTGTTGGGAGGGACTCGTCGCTCCCATGTAACACCGTTGCTGCGCGAGCTGCACT